GAAACCGTAGGAATTTTTTTTATTTTCTGCAACGTTCCCCAACATGTGATTGTTTGGATCTGCCCCTCTCTTCCTTTTATAGTGGTAATAGATTATCTAATCCACTAAGAGATAGAGAAGAGAGAAAGAAGTGATAATGTACTATATGTCTATAATGATAGATAGTCACTAATCACATCAGGTTGGACATAGTACAACCAACAAATACCAACTCTATTATTGAGTGACAACTTCTTAGGTACTTAACGGTGGACCATTTTATGAAACAAGGCGAGAGTTAAAAAAATGTCATGCAAGTGCATAGGCTGGGCACCTTTGAAGCAAACCCTAAAGGTTTAACAATATATCCATTATGAGCTATGCCACCTAAATTCCTACCACATTAGCAGGTGTGCAACTATTTACCAAACTGCACGCTAAGCAGACAACCAATCAATACTAATGATTTTGTATACAGTTGATATTAACACTTTTGCGACGAAGTAGTGTGTAAGAAATTAAAAAAAATCTATTTCCCAAACAGAAGTTAATGTTTTTATTAGAAGTCAGATTGTTCACTGTCAACATATGATGTACAACCATCATCCATTGTCTTTGACCCATCTTAATAGTCACATGACTAGATGCAAAAGGAATAGAGTGTTCACACAGAAAATTAATACTCCATCTGATAAAAAAAGTCTCGTGTCTTAAATTCAAATTTGAACTAAAGCTGGACGAAAACTGCATTTTTTTGGATCGAAGGGAGTACCACATATTTTTCCAAGAACAAGCAACAATATGTTTCCTGTGACATATGTAGTGTACTTAGAGAACCACCTCCATTTGACATATATAGCGTACTTGGAGTATCATCGTCTCAATTGACGTCCTCGGTCCAATTCATGTCTCACCTCGGTCCAATTCATGTCTCACCTCAGACTTAACCTCACCCGATGAATCATGACAACACGTCGTACCTTAATTTATTGGAGAGTTTAAATGCAATATCAATTGCATTTGCGACTGCTAACGAGTCAACCACCTCCTCATTGACAATCTCTTCATGTCCGCTCCATCCACCACCCGTTGTTTTACATCCCCTTACACCATTACGTGGACTCAAAATCGCCTCTTGTTGTCGGAGTTGCTAAAAAAAGCACTGAAGCCAGTGATGAATTGTCTGCAATCTCTCATTCGTAGAGAATTATACCTCAGAACAACAAACCTATCCCTTCTATCTGTTGAATTTTCGTATAGACATTTCACATAAGATTGCGAAGATAAATGAGAATCACACTTCATTTCATTTCTCTCTCATACGAAACAAAAAACCTAAACAAGAAGCGAGAAAGGACAAAAAAGCACAAATCATATATCCCTTGTGCTGTATTTTTTTGATAGAAACCAGAGCCTCCTCCTCCTCCTCCTCTTCCCCATCTCTCCCATCCTTCTGACCTCCTCCTCTCTCTCTAAAAAAAGCTTCTCGTGCTTATAAATACCCTCCCTTCCCTCCCGGTGCGAGTTCCTCCGCCCGATCCCCTTCCGCCCCCTCCCGACGATCGCCCCCGCTCGTCCCACCGCGGTGGGCGATCGCTCCTCTCCTCCGTGCGCGCGATTCCTGAGGCGAGGCGACCGACACCAGATTCCGCCGGCCGGCCCACCTCCCCCGCTTCGCCGATCGGATCGCGTGCTCCATGAGGTGACGATCTGCGAATTCCCGCATTACCCGCCGGGTTTTCACCCTATTATTCGGGCAGGATTGCGTTAGGTGGGTGCTAAGGCATCTGGATGGCTGCGGTGGCGTGAGTGGGAGCTGGGAGAAGGAATTGGATTCGAGGGCGTGTGCAATTTGAGTGCTACGTACGGCACAGCTCGCAATTTTTGTTAGTAGTAGTATGGTGATGGTGCGCCCGTGAGAGTTTAAGAGTGCATAGTCATTCGGTCAATTTTTGCTCGCTATTGTGGATGATTTTCTCGTCTATGGTTAGTGGCTACACTTTAGAAAATATTGGATTTGCCTAATATTTCTGCTTTATTTGCTCGTGTTTGGTTTGGGGGAAGGGGGTGGTTGGTGGGCGTCGGGATGCTAAAGGGTGCATCTGTTATTTTTAGGTGAAACTATGATGCTCTTCTTAGTGTGCAATTTCTTGATATTTTTTATTGGAGCTGCATGTGCATGTGGTGAATGCAGAGAATTTTGCTGAGAAATGATGGACTCATGATTATGTTGATAAACAGGAATATTACCAGTGTTCTTTTGCGTGGTTGAGTCATTAATGGAGTTTGGGGTGTTGCACCTGCAAACTTTTTGCGAGGTTGGTAGTTGTTTGGTTGGGTGTTTGGAATTCTGATTACTTTTTGGTCAGTGTGGAAGTAGATTGGGGGATTGATTTTGTATACGCATGGGATAATAGGATTACATTGTTGCCCTTTTTTGGATTTGTGGTCTGTCTGGTAGTGCTGATGATATAGCCTTAGGTATGACAACAGGTTTTGGACAGTTGGAGAATATTTGTTGAAAATGAATTTTCTTGTTAATTGGTGGTAATTATGATTCTGGTGGTTGTTATATGAATTATGGATATGATGTTAGTTGCTCGTAGATGTTTTCTTAATGCAGATTACATTATTTACCATTGTCATGAAACATTCAGTTTTTGCCTTTTTTGGTTGTCCAAGCCAAGCCGTTGGTTAGTCTTAACTCTGCTTAGTCTTAACTCGGTTTTATTTCTGTCATATGCCCCCCCCCCCCTTCTATTCTCCGATTCTGTTTTTTTAAATGCATTGTTTTTTATTTGAAAAAAGGAGTTTGAGTTATAATTCAGAAACATTTTGATCTGGTGATTATCTCTCAAGAACTACAATAGCAATTTCCGTTCCACCCAGAACTTTAGGAATTCCTTGACTGAGATGTGAAAGCTTATGCCTCTATTATCATTAGATGTAAGAGACACGTGCACACTTTTCACTTTCTTTTTTACGAATGTTCAAACTTCATCTTCCCTTTTTGTGTATTAGAAATATCATTGGCCTTATGCTGAGATGGGAGAACTTATGTTGTATGGTCATTGAATGTAAGATTACACACCTCCCTTTATCATAATTTTCCATTTTGTTAAAAGTCTCCGTACTACATACTACGTTCTGTGTATTTTTCATTAGTGACAAACTTACAATTGAAGGAAGTGTAAAATCAAAGAAGTCCTCAGTTTGATTATTTGTATTTAGTAACTAAATGATTGAAACAAGTTCTGCCCTTGTTTAAAGTGATGACCATCTTCTGATTGCATGTCCTGCCGTGTTTCACCCTATACGCCATTCATCAACCTTTCTTTCAAAGTAAACCATTAACTGACACAAATTACCTTCTTTAAAAAAAATTATGAACATGTTTTTCTTTGAGGATTTTGTTTTGGTAAATCTCCTCGGCAATGACAAACTGCTTCAATCAGCAGGAGAATGGGTGAAACATGTCAAATGGGACTCCTAATTGCAAAAGAAACTATCCTTTCTAGACCTAATTGCAAAAGAAACTATCCGCCACTGGCCTTGCAATTGCTCGAAGTTGGAAATAGATGCAATTCATTTCCTTAGTACTAATGCCTTTATTTTTGCCGAGCTCCACCACTGCCTGTAGGCACAACATTAAGCATACGATTTGCATATGGTCATGAAAATAGAAGTTCTGAAGTATAAAATTGATGCCTGTCCCTACTAATCATATTTTGTTGACAACCTGCTGACAGTGTTATATGTACATACTGACTAATGTAGAGAACCACAAGCAGAACTGGTAGATATTAGAAGGTTATTACCCCCACCAATGTATTTCCTTACGTTCTTTGTTACTACAGATCCTCCCTATCATTTTAAAAGCATTACTTTGTTTTCATGGTAACTTTGAAGGAGCAAAGGCAGTGACTTTGATCGGTTTATTTGCATTTAATATTGCTCTTCAGTTGAAAATGATTTTGTTAAGCTTCATGCACTAGCCAACATAACCAAATGGTCCGAACTTATGGAAAGGGCTAGGCAATCCACATATACATTTAAACAGATTTTACCACTCTAATGATGTATTGTTTTCAGCCAGAATTAGGAAAAAAATACTTTATGAAAGGGCAGATCGAAATATCAGCTGACAAATTAAACAACTGTGAATAATTGCGATATGTATTCATATGCATTGTGCCACGCTTGGTTACCTCAGTAGGATATAATCTATACAGCTCATTGGAATGGGTTGCTGCAAGCAATAAATAATGATTTGACTTCCAAGTTTGTATGTCTTCACATTCAAATCCTACTTAAAACACATATTTCCTACATCAGAGAAGTTGGATAACTTAATATGCGAACTCTGGTGAATCACACCATGTGTTGATTATCACCAAAGATTTAGCCATGGACAGGGATGCGTGGAAGTTAGCTATCCACGTGCCATAACCATGACTTGGTTTCGATATCTTATGTGTTTCAACTCTAGCCTACCCCAACTGGTTTGGGACTGAAAGGCTTTGTTGTTATTGTTGTTGTGGTGGTGGTGGTGGTGAATCACACCATTGTGTTGACTTAATCTTGTGCTGTTGACATATGAGCCTACTCTAGGGATGCAATGTCCGGATCTATTACCTTAGCTAGTTTATCTTCAAGTTTTTGGCAACATTACTAATCATTCGCACCAATCCTCTTGGTTTGTCTGTAACATTGCCTTTATGTTACCACACAAGCATACACATATGGATGTCTTCTACTCCCTCCGTCCCATAATATAAGAACATTTTTGAGACAGTGTCAAAAACGTTCTTATATTATGGGACGGAGGGAGTACTATGTAAACTGCGAAGCTTAGCATATTTGATATATGTCGCATTTTAAGTGTGCACTGTAGATCTATTCACTTCATTCTAACAGTTGGTTTCTAATTTGATTTCAGGTAGAGGTGACGATAAAGCATAGTTGTTGACTTAGCTTGCAGTGGTTCTTTATCGAAGCTAAGGCAGATAATAATTGGCGTTATGGCATATCGAATGGTATGCGCTCCCCAAGTCATTGATCTTGAGTCTGGGCGAGGGCATCCTCATGTTCATTCTGAAAGTTTAATTCACAATGGGAATGATTTGTCCGACCAAGGCGGTCAATATACTGTCAGAGTTGTAGGCAATGCTATGAATGCTGGTCTTTCTGATACACAGGGTTACTACAATATGAGCATGAATCATCCACATCAGCCTGTTCATAGTTCTCTGCCAAATTTAGGCGTTGATTCAGGTTTTGTCTTCCCATCAAATATGTACAACCCTTGCATGTCAACATCTATGAACAGATATGTCTCTCATGCTCAGAGCTTTGGATTGCCTTTAAACCAAGTTGTCTCAGGAAGTATGGATGGAAGTACTAGAAATGAAAATGTCAGCGAAACTGCTAGAGGATTCATTAAAAGGAAAAATGCAGCAGTTGCAGGAAGTTGTCATTTTGTTAATGGATCTGCAAGCTCAAGCTCATCCTCTCATACATCTCAAAATCCCACACATAGGCCATGGGATCCTTCTTTCGAGTCAAATGTTTTTCCTAATGTCACACCATTCAACCCATCAGAATATCATAGCCACAGCACTTGGCCATCTGTGGAAGGATCTTCCATTACTGGATCAAATGGGTTTAATTTGATGGCTGCTCACCCAGAATCAGCACAGCATGGTAACTATACATTTCAATCAAGTCATGCTAGTCAGTGCTTTCAACCTGCCAGCACTACTTGGGTTTCCCAGGCTGCAACTGGAATTGTGGAAGGAGTACCACAGTGGTCATACATCAATGCAATGTCTAGTGTTCCAGGTACGTAAGCAACTAATAGAACAGATCTGAGTTTCCTACTGATAATGAAAACAGATTCGGAAAGAGTTGTACTTTCTAAGGATAAGAATCATTGTTCAATGCATCTTTTAATTGTTGGCAATGTGCATTGATGGCTAAACTAATAGTTTAGCTTTACACGTTAAGTGTCAGAAGCTTAGTAGAAAAATGGTCCCACCTACAAAATGAAATTGTGACAGAAGCGAAGTATAATTGATAGCATTTATCTTTCAGCTGTCAGATTTGCTTGTTCAGGGGAAATAATTGGTACCTCTTGCTTCCAGCAGGCAGATTTGCACATTCAGGGGCCACAGAAATAGTGAATGGAGGCTTTCATGAATATCAGAATGGTCCTTCAACCATTTCTCAAGGGCATTTACCTTATTTTCATCAACATGCTGTGCATAGCATGCAAGCTCATAATCCACTGGATCATACACAAGTGCAAGTCCCTTACCAACAAGGCCACAATAATGGCGTCTTACATAGTGGGGTAAATCATTCTGGTAACCGGGTCCACTTGGGTCCAAGAACTCCAGGTCTCTTCTCTAATTCTGAGCGGTCTTTTGGGCCTCCACAGCATCCGTTCCTGGTGAACCCAGTTAATCCTAGGAACATAAGAATTTTGCCACCTCTGGTTAGTCTGCACCTCACTTCATTTATTTATTTTACAATTTCTGGTATTCAAATACCAAATAACTCAATAACTATTAGGATCACCATTTGCCTAATGTGATACATCTCGTGTGTTCTTTTCCTTTTTGTGGAACGTTGGGAACTCTCATGGGAGTCTTGCATGTCTTGGACTTGTGCTTTAGTGCATTCATACCTTAATGTGTTTTATGTGCTAAGTTCTGGAATTTTGAATCTTACAAACTGGAATTCTTTTTACTGATTTCTAAATGGCCGATGTCCTTCAATGTAGAACTGGAAGTGACCAGCCTTGCAATTATCTTGTTGTGGAAATGTTATCCATTGCATTGTTGTTAAGTCTCTTATTATTCTTGGGGAGTTCTTATTGAAATGTGTTAAGCTATGTGTTGGTTATTAGATTCAAGAAATTGTATTCGTTGATTCTTGTTGTGTTGTATGAATGCCTCGGGCGTACTGAAGCTTTTGCTTGGATACAATGTTTCTCACATTTGAAATTGCCTCTTGTTATTTTTATTTCTGGTCAACGGGAAGATGACTATTATACTCATGAATTTGACCTCATGTCCTTCCTGCCGCTATTTATTTGTTTTATGTTACCATGTTTTCCTTGGTGATGTGCATGATACACACCTTGCAAAGTTACATGTACCTTCTTATGTAAGCAATCTCTTTCATGGACCCTGTGTACCAGAAGCTGAACCCATGTCGTGAGTACTACTTGCATGATCAGAGATAACCTTGATTGATGCGATTGATTAGGTTCTTGGCTGATTTTTAAGCAGAAGTGGTCTTAATTTCAAATCCATCCGTGCAGACAGACTCGTTTCACTTGTGACCAACTTACAATTATCACAGATAGTATTAACTTTAAATCCAGGCCTGCAAACTGGTTAGAGTGTAGACCTCTTGACGTCCCTGTTTTTTTGTTTCCGTTAAGGATGTCAATGATATACATGTAGTTATATAACTATTTGTTGGCCCTGCAGCAGCATGGTGCAATCATGGATTTTTCGAGGTTGTATGAGGGGTCAAATGTAGTAGATGAGCATAGAGATATGCGTCTAGATATAGACAGCATGACCTATGAGGTACGTAAAACTCATTCAGCCTTTGTGACTTCACCTCACACGGTATGTATTTTATGATTTATTCTTTTATTTCTATCACAGGAGCTTTTAGCATTAGAAGAGCACATTGGAGACGTCAATACAGGTCTGGCAAAAAGCCACATCGTAGATAAATTGAAGACTAGCTTATATGTGCCAGGAGCAACCTGCGTGTCTAATCAGTCATCTGAACCTTCCACAGAGAATGAGGCTTGCATAATATGCCAGGTGCTTCCCTTTCACTATATTGTTTGTTACCTTGGTCATGTAAAATTTCAGCTGTTCCAAACTAATGAATTGTCAACCAGCCATCAAATTCATGTTGAACCACCATCACATCTATTGAAGAAACGCTTAAATTTGACCGACTGATCTACACAACTCGTAAGCTGCCTTGCTCAGTTGACGCGTGTCCCACGTGGACCTGATGTACATACCTGTCGCTCCCAAGTCCCAACCGCTCAATCCCTATCCCCTTTCTTCATCTTCGTCTCTTCCTATCCATTCTTACCTCTCTTTCCCATGGTGGCCTACCTCACCAAGGCAGCAAGCCAGCCAACGCAGCAAGCTAGCCAACGCAAGCTACCTTTCTACCGCCCGCACCTTGCTGCAAGCTCCGCCGCCCGGTCGCAGGAGGTGCTGTTGCCGCTCACCCGCGCTAGTTGCGTGCTCCTGCCAGCGCGGCCCCGGTCTCGGCTGCTGCCAGCCCGCACGAGCTGTTCCATAGAGCGGGCGGCGGCCAATGGCGACGCCCCTGTTTTTCAACAGCCCCGGCGCTGCAAGCCCCCGACGAGCGGATGCAGTAATCGTTCATGGTGTTATGACTCTCGCCGGCGCTGCAACCGATAGCGCTGCACGGCGGTGCTGCAACGGTGGGCTGTCGGCGCTCTGTTTGTGCATCAAGCGAGCGGCGGGTGCTGCAACCAAGGGAGTTCGTCGGCTCTTTACAGCTTCCCGCTGCTGCGATGGAGCACATCCGGGACGCATGGTACTGCTATGAAGCTGTGCTGGGCTGCCGGAGTTGCAATGAAGCATCGCCGGAAGCCGCCGGAGTTGCAATGAAGCGCCGTGGGGGCGTTGAAGCTTTGCCGGCGTTGCAATGAAGCGTCGTCAACGCCGCAATGGAGCGCCGCCAGGTGCCATAGGTGCTGCGGAGTGCTGCCATGGACTGCTGTGTGGCGCTTCCTGATCCTGCGGCTGGGAGCATCTCTATCGGACGTCGCTGGGGGCGACTTAAATTAGGCTTGCATCATCCGGTTGATTGGTAGCACTGGCCTAACTTGATCGCTTGAACTTAGCATTCTGCACGGTCTAAACTTAATACTTATGGATCTGAAGTAATGACTATAGCTTATGCTATGACTAATAATGCATCTACTTATACTACAGCGAGCAATGGCTAGTGCAGTATTATAGGACTACCTCGTCTACAGCATATTACCCACCTCTGCGCAGTAGTGTTGTGTTGATGTTGAGAAATGTTTGTTGCTTATTTTGACAGTACAGTGTACCCACGTTCCTTCAGCTTTCTGTCCATAAGAAAACCTATTTCTCTAGGATTATTACTTAGTAAATTTAGTTGGAAATTAGCATTAGCAAATGCGCCGATGCATGGCGATGATCATCTAGAACAAAGTTACTCTGTTTCTTATTAGACAGTATAGTGTTCCCACTTCCTTTGGCTTATGTCCATAAGATAACTTATTTCTCTAGGATTACTTTTTGGTAAATTGAGCTGGAAACTACTATTAGCAGATGGACCGATGTATGGTGTTAATCATGTAGAACGGAGTTACTAAGGAGTGGTAGTTGGTATATGGCCACCCATGCTTTTCTTCGCCATAAATATTGATTGGATTTGGAAAGGCGATGTCATGGGGATCGGTCACCCATGTGCTAGGCCAATGGTTCCAATCAAGTGATACGAACCCTTTAGTATCTCTTTAAGTAGAATTTTATCATTTAAAATTTTAATTTTAAGTTAGGAATTAATCAACTAGAGGTACGATAGGAGAGGCTTCTTTTAGAACCATGGAGCCACTGCTCCACCTCTGGATACCGTCGAACTCAAATCAACCCCCTGTGATGTGCTAGTTCACTACCCTCCATTCTAAATAAGGTGGGCATGTATTCCAAAATCCAACTTTGACCATAAATTATACCAATATACACTATTTTTATGACTTCAAAATTATACCATTGAAAACTTATTTTGAATACAAATTCAACTGTTTAATTTTTGTGACGTATAACCCATATTTGGTTGGTCTAATTTATTGTCAAAGTTCAATTTTAAAATGTGTGCGCGCCTTATTTATGGTCAAAGTTCAATTTTAAAATGCGTGTGCACTTTATTTATTGGAATGGAGGGAGTACATATCGAGATTTTTATGAGTGATTTATTTATTTAGTTTTGTGATCAGTGAGTGATTATAACTGGTCATTTAAATAGTCATGCATGCACACGAATCGCTATGATAGATCTGATGGCATCCAAAGGTGGAGCCGCTGCTCCATGGTTCACCTGAACATTAGTGATAAGATATCCCTTAGCTTTGGGCTTGCAGCCAATAGTTTAGATTATTAGCCCTCAATATAAAGAGGACACATTGAGATGAATTAATCAACCTGGAAGTACTACACTCTGTCGTCCATCTACCCTGTCCCTCCCAATCCAAAAAGGCTTGCCTGTTTTTAGTGCATAAACCCTTGTGATCATTTCGCGAACTTTGTGTAACTCTTCTACTTCTAGTAAAAATTCTGGTGTCCTTGCCCGATAATAAGCGCTGGCAGGTTGGTGAAGCATAATGCGAGAATGCTATATGCTTGGAGGTTCTCCTCCAAGCAGAATGAAGGACGCCATGGAGGCGGCTATTCCGAGGCATATTGTATATATATCTGGTGTCACCGTTTGCATCGTATCAAAAATAGCCATTCCTGAGATTAGCCACCCGCCTGGGGAGGTTTATAAACAAAAGAACCCCCTTTCCTAGATCAGCATTGCCAACTGGCGATATTTATCCTCGTGAGCCCTGGTTCATGACAGGAGATGGAGAATCTAGTTTCACGCTCACTGGCGTCCAATCTATTCCCAGTTCCTAGTTCTAAAGAACTGTCGCTTGATGTATCTTGCAGGAGGAGTACGAGGCTGAGGACTGCGTTGGAATCCTGGATTGTGGCCACAGATACCACGCGGAGTGCTTAAAACAGTGGCTGACGGTAAAGAACCTATGCCCCATCTGCAAGACAACAGCTTTGTCTGCGGGTAGAAGAAGTGGATAACAAACAGGATTAAGCTTTATCAGTTATTTGCTTCCGACAAACATTCAGATCAATTTTGTACATAAGAAGCGGTAGACTATTCTGCTACCTGTATTTGTTGTTCACCTTGTTGTGATGGGGAGTAACTCGGCTTCCAAAAACTGTACAGACATAACATTGATCGTTCTATTCAAATGTAGAATGTTTATAAATTACTCAGTTGGACATACAGTGTATCATATGGTGGATCTGAAGGTAACTCTTAGAGTGGCATCTCTAGAAACTACCCTGTATATATGTTGGTTACCCTAAAACAAACAGAAACATGTGTTTTTTGTGTACATTATTAAATCTTAAGAGAACTGATAATTGTTTCTGTTATTGGAGAGATTGGTCTGATAGTGGCCAGCCGAGCACTGAGTTTTTCAGCATATGGCTTTGGACGACAATGTTCTGTACTGTATAATGGATGATTCAACTCCGTCGTGCAGTTTGGTCGAAACATAAGAAACAAAACCTCGAATCTGAACTCGCTCCTATTTGTGATGGAATTTATCTTAATTTTATTGCATTTCATGTGTATTTTCTGTCATTGTTTTTGTATCTTTTTTTTGAGGGAAAAAAGGAAAAAGAAAAAAGATAGTGTTTTCGTATCTTTTAAGGAGACATATATAGTGTTTTTGTTTTCTTAGTGGCTGTACCGTACAAGCAAAAGATAGTTTTGCCCTAGAACTCTTCCCCTAATATTATAGCACTAGCTTGTGCGCCGTACTTGATCGAAATATTGCGTTGCTGCCTTGAGAGAATCTTCCCTGAAGGATCTCTGCACCCATCCCCAGCTAACAAAACGTGATGAGCGAAAATGAAAGGAGAAACAAAAGAGAATGCTACTACTACTACTACATGAAGCCAAGTCAAGCCTGGCACATGCTTATATTCGCAAATTCAATTTTGTACATATCGTTTTGCGAGATGAGAGTCGTTGACACATGTATGTACATGCATGCCCGGTCCGGTCGGTCACGGAGACGAAGCCAGGACCGGGACAGCGAGCGGCTCGATGGTCGTCATCATCTCTGGCTTGGCTTTCTCTACCTCCCCACCACACCACCCCCCACGAAACCAACACCATCCGCGGCGACCCCTTCTTCCCTTCCCTGAGACACTTCTCCCCAAAGCGAACCCAGCTGAAAAGAAGCGAGACGCGCCGCGCCGCACCGCGTTGCCTTTGTATATCGTGGCTCTATTTAGCTCAAGAGGAGAGGAGAGGAGAGGCGCGCGGGGAGGGGAAGGAGATCAAATCAGATCAAACCGTAGGAAACCATCGATTGATCGAGCAGCGGCGGCGACGCGGAAGCAGGAGGGGAGGGGGGATGGCGGTGGCGTATCGCGCGGAGGAGGAGTACGACTACCTGTTCAAGGTAGTGCTGATCGGGGACAGCGGCGTGGGCAAGTCCAACCTGCTGTCGCGCTTCGCCAGGGACGAGTTCAGCCTCGACACCAGGTCCACCATCGGCGTCGAGTTCGCCACCAAGACCGTCCGCGTCGACGGCAAGCTCGTCAAGGCGCAGATCTGGGACACCGCCGGCCAAGAAAGGTACCAATACTCCAACCTCTTTCTTTTTTGCCCGCCACCTGTATGAGATATTGCTGCTTTGCCTGTCCACTTCTTTATTTCTTCCACCGCTCGTCGTCGATTCAGTTTAGTTTAGCTTGATCGATCGATCAATCGTAGTAATTGACCAACTCAAGGACTTGCGATGACTCCTTTCCCGTTGCCATGCTTGTGATTTCAATACCATCTGGAACAACTCATTCTCAACTGTGGCAAGTATCTTTAGCAATGCAATGTGCATCTTTCTGGTTGCTTGTAACCGCATTTCCACATTGACACCAGTACCAAGTTGGTTAATCACTTTGCGTACGTGCGTTGCACCTGCACTCGCGGCGCTCTCTGTGTGTAGGTACCGGGCCATCACCAGCGCGTACTACCGGGGCGCCGTGGGCGCGCTCGTGGTGTACGACGTGACGCGCCACATCACGTTCGAGAACGCGGAGCGGTGGCTGACGGAGCTCCGCGACCACACGGACGCCAACATCGTGGTGATGCTGGTCGGGAACAAGGCGGACCTGCGCCACCTGAGGGCCGTCTCGCCCGAGGAGGCCAGGGCCTTCGCGGAGCGCCACCGCACCTTCTCCATGGAGACCTCCGCGCTGGAGGCCACCAACGTGGAGGACGCCTTCACCGAGGTGCTCGGCGAGATCTACCGCGTCGTCAGCAAGAAGGCCCTCGACATCGGCGACGACCCCGCCGCGCCGCCTAGGGGCAAGACCATCGACGTTGGCGGCAAGGACGACGTCACCCCGGTGAACACGGGCGGCTGCTGCTCGGCCTAGTCAAACTCTCTCCCTCTCTATCTCTCTCTGCCGGAGACGGTGGTAGGTGATGCCGTGTGTGTGCGTGCTAGGGTGTAACAGGCATGTTGCGACCGTGATGATTATTGGTTATTGGTCAAAACGCTCTGGGGGTGGTTGATACCTTGATATCATATGCTTGATTGATACTACTACATACAGCGTGTGGTACCGGGAGAAGACGTCGTGCGTGTGATGTTGCAAGTTGCAACCACGGTCCGCATCTGTGTTCAGTTCAGGTCCAAAAAAACGCGTTAGGGTGTGACAATTTTCGGTCAAGGCGCTTCATCATCAGGTAAAAAATAGAAGCGACTCCGATGAAGACGAAACGGCCGTCGTGCAGAAAATGGATATGCCGGCGATGTCCGCGTCGGAACACGGCCGCGGAAGGATATGCATAATTTAAGAACATGATTATGCGTTGACGCAAGCCCTACCAGCGCAGGACGGCCGCAGAACGCTTTTTTTTAGGGATATACGTAAAAGCCAAGTTTATTCATCAAAGTCCACGGGGGGAGATCAGATGGGCTTTAAGGTTAACCAAGCAGTTGCGATCAGATGAGGGCAGTGGACCAATGTAACTAGGCGTGTGATCCACTTTACCAGACACACACTCTCATTTGAAATCGTGCCTACGGGTAGAACCTCAAGGCGTTCCCCTAGGGTTTCTCTTCCTCCGGGCGACTGCGCCGGAGTACCCAAATTCCTCACAGTCCAGCGAGGCTTTCCCGTTGGGGCGTGAGTCATCAAGGTCCAGAAAACGTACTATGTATAGTGCATGGCGGAGCCGCCTCTTGTGGCGATTGGGGGAGGGGGGAAGCATGGTTCTGGGGACGAGAGAGAGGAAGTATGGGGCTGAGATCGGACATGAGGAAGGCCAACTGAACAGATCAGGGAAGATGGAGGAAGTGGTAGTGGGGGTCGCGAAGAAGCAAATCGGGAGGATCATACTTGGGGGCCTATACCTAACCTTGAAGATCGTTTCGAGGGCCTGAATTTGCATGGGGAGGAGGAGACTGATCTTGATTTTTCGGAAGAACTTGAGGACCTGATCAATGAGGTTATATGGCTTGCAATGTTCAAGGTTCATACAACAAGGCAGTCCAGCCACTCGGCTTTGTTCAACATGAGAACGGCGTGGTTGGCGGCGCAACAGGTTTTCTTTAAACTGAAAGGTGCAAATCTCTTTATTGCATAGTTCAGTTGCTTGGGGGATTGGAAGAGGACGATGGATAGAGGTCCGTGGCTTTTTCGTAATGCGATGGTCATTTTACAGGAATATGATGGTTTTAGCAACGTCCAAGATTACAAGCTTGACAGGATTCCGGTGTGTACTAGAATTGAAGGGGTCCCGGATGGATTGATGAGGACGAAAGAATTGGCTGAGAAGGTGGCAAAGAAGGTTGGTGGTCCTCCTATTACAGTAATTGTGAACGAAGGTTTTATCAATACATCGTAGTACTTAAGAGCGAGGGTCTTTCTGGATGTGCAAGTTCCTCTTGTTACATTTGTGCCAATAACATTAAAGGAGAGGAGAAAGTACCCCGTTTTCTATGAGAAGCTTCCTGATTACTGTTTATTTTGTGGGCTAATGGGACATCTTATGGAGGAGTGCGGCGACGGAGTTCAGGATCCCTAGTGAGTGTGAATGGGGCCCTTGGCTTTTGTGGAATTTTGATGTAGCAACACTACGACAGAATTATGCAAGGGATGGAGGAAGAGGAAGTGGAGAGAGAGGAGGTCGAGATGCGGGAGGTCAAGGAGGTTGGGGCCGTGGAGGAGATGGGCATGGACAACCAACAGAAGGAAATACTCAAATGGAGATGGAGTACTCGACCCAGGATGTGAGGCCACTGACTAAGACAAACAATAGAGGGCCGAGGAAGCGCTTGGTTGACCAAGATGGTATAGTTAATACCCAAGAGCAGCCAGCGGTGCTGATTAAGCTCGGTACGGTTGCCGGAAAGGTGCTGCTAATTGAGGGTGCGCCACCGGCGACTATGGATGATAAGGAGGCTATGACACCGGGTAAGGTACCAATCGTGAAGAGAAGGAGACAAGGTGAAGAAGGAGAGAGTGTTGACGATACTATGAGTGAGGCGACCTCCCTTGAGGATCGGCGACCCCGCGATGGTTCATGAGCTCTGAGAGCTCATACGGGAATGTGCACCGAGGGTGGTTTGCATATCAGAAACACAAATATCCAAACAGAGAGTGGAAGGCCTGACGTCAATGTTAGGTTTCGATGGCGGATTTGCAGTAGCTAGCAGCAGAAGAAGTGGTGGGCTGGCAGTTTTTTTGGTAGAACAATGTTAATTTGAGAGTTAAGAATTTTTCAATCATATTTATATGTCGGTCAAAGTGTTGAGGAACGTAGTAATTCAAAAAAATTCCTACAATCACGCAAGATCTATCTAGTAGATGCATAGCAACGAGACGGGAGAGTGTGTCCATGTACCCTCGTAGACCAAAAGCGGAAGCATTTAGTAACGCGGTTGATGAAGTCGAACGTCTTCACGATCCAACTGATCCAAATACTGAACGTACGACACCTCCGTGTTGAGCACACGTTCAAAACGATGACGTCCCTCGAGTTCTTGATCCAG